CCTGGCAGGCACTGCTCTCCCTTTGTTTCTAGTGAATTAGGTCCTGTCTGCTGCAGTAGATTATGAGTTCCCTGGGCCACCGTCCATGTCCTCTCCTTCTTCAGTGACTCTCTTAGCGATGCTCCCATCCCCCCCGCCCCCACACCCAGTAGTGAACACATAATAACCATTCAATGAATGCCTGGCTGAGTTTCCACTGTGATGGTAGCAGCGAGACTGTCTTTCTGTCTATTGGCAATATGCCACAGAGTGAAGAGAGATAAAGGCTACAGAGATCTAGGGAAGAGGCAGCATAATATAGTGGTTAAGAGCATGGATTCTGAAATAGAGAGCCTGGGGGTGAGTATAAGACTCTGCTACTCAGAAGCTGTGTGACCTTGGGCAAGTTACTTACCCTCTCTGTGTCTCATGTTTCTCATCTGTAAAATGGAAGATAGTGTCATAGGGTTGCTCTGAGTATCACACAAATTATAACAGGTGCAATGCTCAAAACATTATAAATTCTATGTAGAGTGTAAGCTATTATTTCTATCTCTACGAGAACTAATGAACTTAGGTGGTTTTTCTGTAGTCATTCTTTGTGACAGAGGGTCATGAGAGGCTGAAGTCATTGGTGCTCCCAATCTTATCACCCATTACTTTGTATCAGGCCATTCTTCTGCTCCCTCACTGTCTCTCCACCACCAAAACCACCTGCTCGCTGCACAAGCAGCCCCTCCCTGCTATTGCACATGCCCTCCCACTAATCTCTGTCTACCTCCTTCTCTCCCAGATCCCATCCATCCTTCAAGGTCTGTCCTAAACCCCCCTCCTCTGGGAGGCCTCCCCTACTATTCGAGTCCTCAACCTTCTCCGAATTCCAGTGGGACTTAAAAAGAGAACCATGTAACCTAGTCCCTGATTATATGTCGCCTGACATGGGAGCATGATTTTTTTGCTTACTAGAATGACTGCTAATTTCTGGAGGGCAAAACCAGCAATAATAGCCACTGTGTTTTGTATGCTCATGCTAGGTACTTTGATAAGCACTTCGCAAGGATTATTTTGTTTCATCTCTCCAACAACCCTATAAGGTAGACCCATTTTTCAGATGAGGAAACTGAGGCTCAGAGAGGTTGAAAACTTGTCCAGAGTCACGGAGCTGAAAGTGACCGTGTCTTCAGCGTTGGCATGATTCAGAGTGCCTACGTAGACCTGTGTCAGCTGCGTCATGAGAATGGAGTAGAATCTGCCACATTTCTCAAGTCTTTTGGAATTCTAGAGCCAAAGACTCCCTCAAGGATGAAAGACTCCATTCCAGAGCTTTATCCTTCCCCTGCCTTCTCAGCGCTCACTTCGTAATGTTTTTAAGTAGGTGTCTGAGGACCCAAGAGCTGTTAGCTCTTCTCACTCCTCTCTAATATTTATTAACAGCCATTGTCAGACTAGCTATACACTTGGCTTAGCCCTAGCGGCAAATGCTTATTCATCCATTCACCCATCTATTCTGCCCGTCCACCCACCCACCCACCCTATCACGCATTGTTTTATCCATCCATTCACCAAATACTTTCTGAGCACTTATCCCGCAGTGACCACAGAGCAGCATTACTCTGTGATGTAAGTCTTCTGGAGAACACAAAGATGAGTCAAAGGAGCACGCTGCCCTTCCAGAAATGAGGCATGGATGTAGATAACTCCCATGCAAAGCAGAAAACTACATGTGCCAGATAAGATAGTATATGGGGGTGTGCGAGGTCACAGGACAGAAGATCACTCCCGCTGGGGTATCAAGACGAGAAAATAAAAAAAAGGAGTTTCTTAGAGGTGGCAGTATGTGAGGTAGGCCTTCAAAGATGCCCAGTTTGAGATCATGCAAAAATTGAAAGGAAAAAAAAGGATTTTTTTCGAAAGAGAAAGCAGCGTGAGCGAAAGTGAGGGCACAGGGAAGTACTGGGCCTGTCTGCAGAACACCATGTGTGGCTGATTGTAGAGCTCACGCGGCTGAGAGATGTTTGGGGCAGGGGGCTGGGGCCAGATTGCAGAGACCTTGAACCCAGACTAGGGAATTTAGATTGCACTCTGTGGGCAACAGGGGCCACGGAATGCTTAGAAATTTCTTTTAAACAATGAAGCGACAGATCCGAGCGGCGCTTTGGAAAAATGAATCTGGCTGCAGCCTGGGAGATGGAATGGACAGAAAGAGGCTGTCCAGAGACAAACTAGCCAGGAAGCGATGGCAACAGTTCAGGTGGAGGAGTGTGAGGGTCTAGACGTGGGCAGGGGGCAAAGATGGAAAGGGGCGAGTGGGGGAAACCTAGAGGCACAATGTGCAAAACAGGACTTGAGCAAGAGAGCCCCAGGGCAGGGGCAATTTGCAAGCCCGAGAGACAGGAGACGGAGAAGCAATGAGTCCACTTTTGCCAGGTCGAGGTTGAGGTGGGTGCAGTAGGTGAACAGGTGGGAATGTCCCGGGGAACTGGCGTTGGGGGAGGGGCAGGTCGGAAATAGAAATTTGGGAGCTATTTGAGTTAGAGGTGGTGGTCTGCACATGTGGTTGCCAAGAGGGGAAGAAGGTCAAAAACAGATCCCGGGGAAATATCCAGGGGAAACATCCAGGGGACTAGAAGGAAGAAATAGCCAGAGAGGGCACGAAAGGGAGGGGGAACTAGGTGGCCAGCTCCTTGGGGGCAGGGAGTCTTTATGTTTTCAGCAAAGGGCCTGATACATAGTTAGTGTGCAATAAATAATGGGAGGAAGGATGGGGGTGGGGAGGGTAAGGAGGGACTGAGAAAGAACGTCATGAGGCTGAGAGCCCACCGCCCAGCGAAGGCCGGAAGTGCCAAAAGGACTGATAGCTTGCCAGTGAGGATGTCAAGGCCTGGTGGCCTCTGAGAGCATCTTCAGGGGAACGGTGAGGCCTGCTTGTTAGGGATGACAGAGAGGGCAGGCCTGGCTAGGACACACAGGTGAGCGGGGTGCTTCCACGAGGTACGTCAGACGGGCAGGACCAGGCTAGAAAGAGTAACTTTGGAGGAGGCGAGATTGGCTGAAGGTTTTTAAGCAAAGGGGAGACTTGACCATGTTTGCAGGCAGAAGGAAGAGGAGAGGAAGAGATGGTGGCTGCCCGGAGATGGGGGTTACCTGGCTGCAGGGCAGAGGGGTCCGGTCCATGTCCAGGTAGAGCCCAGCCTTGGAAAGGAAACCACATTTCTCCAAAAGGAGGACAGGTAAGAAGCTGGCTCGCCACATACAGGGGCCTTTAGAGGGGCCAGTCCCAATTGGGAGGCTCTCATTAAAAGTGAGAGATAAGGTCCTATGCAGAGGTGGGTTAGGCAGAGGTGGAAGAAAGCAGAGAGGGTTTGGAAGGTTCATTGTGGGAAGTGTGCGTGGCTGAGACTGTTGGGGAGAACGGAGCTGCCATGTGTCCTGGAGGCTGTGTCTGCACCTGGTGGCCCTGGTACCCTCCCCTTGAACACCTGCTGGGGGGAACGGGACACCGAGAGGAGCAATGACTGTCTATCAGTGGTAAGGAGGAAGGAGAGGGGTCCGAGATGAGGCATTTCACAGGTGTACACGGTTATGCACTGGGACCCACACTCTCACGTGCACATGCACTGACCCACAGGCCCGGCCACTCAGAGGGGGTTCAAAATAATGATGCCTCTGCTCTGTCCCCCGGCCCCTTCTTATACACAGCTTTCTACAGCCCCTTGCCCATCACCTGCGCCGGGTCTCACCCCTCAGCCTCTGCATCTTCTCCCTCGCCCTGAGCCACATTGCTCAGGGCCGTCACGCCAGTGCCCACCCGGTATGCTAGAAAGCACGCTGGTAAATTATTAATATCTTGCCCTTCCGGGGGCATTGCATTTTAATTTGAGGCCAGACTTAAGGCCTCGGTCTTACTAGTGAAATTTTAAGCTGGCAGGGAAAATGTTTTGGGGCAGATGAATGTGTGTGTGTGAGTGTGTGTGTGTGTGTGTGTGTGAGAGAGAGAGAGAGAGAGAGAGAGAGCGCGAGAGAGAGAGAGAGAGAGAGAGAGAGCGCGAGAGAGAGAGAGAGAGAGAGAGAGAGCGCGAGAGAGAGAGAGAGAGAGAGAGAGAGCGCGAGAGAGAGAGAGAGAGAGAGAGAGAGAAGAAAGAGAGAGAGAGAGAGCGAGAGAGAGACAGAGACAGAGAGAGAGAGACAGAGAGAGAGAGAGAGAGTTTTCTTGGCTTCTCTCAAATTACACCACACAGGCAACTCCACCCACAGGTAGCCCCCTCCCCCAAAGCTACTTTCCTCTAAGTCCACACCCTCTCTCACCTCCTCCAGCCTCACCCCTCTCCCACCACGTGCACACCTCCTGCCTATGCGCGTGCACTCCTAGGTCCCAGCAGCCTGTCATGAAAGAGGTCCCAAGGTTGGTCTGCAGCAGGAAGGGAGGGCGGGATAGAAGGAAGGGAAAAAATCTGGGAGGAAGGCAAGCCCAGGTGGCAGAAGGGACATCTCAGCTGCCCACCCTCCTCCCCCATCAGACACCAGCAAGCGCCTCTGTCAGCCCCACCCTCCCCCAGCTGTGCAGCCGGCCTTATCTGAGCCACCAGCCGGCCCCACCTCACACTGCCCACCCGAATCTCCATGGCAACTAGAGCCTCTCAGCTCCCTGGTGGGGTGATAAAACCCACCCACCCATCCTCACTCTGTCTCGCTCCAGTTAGGGCCTGATCTGACTGTGAAGGCTCAACCGGGAGACCCACAGCCTGGGTCCTCTGGTCCAGTTTCTGCTCCTATCCTAGGCCGGCCACCACTCGCTCTGCACCAGCTACTGGGTCAGGGGCTCTCATGCATCCTCTCTGTGTTCACATAAGCCAGCGTTTACCCCAGTTAGATGAGGAAACCGTGGCTGAGAGGTTGACTTGCCAAAGGACACCAAATAGAAGCCGGGCTGCAATTCCCACCCAGGCCTGTCTCAGGCCAAAGCCAAGGGACACTCTTTTCAACGGGTTGCCAACGATCCCACTTAATCTGAACTTGGAACTTGGGATCCCATGTGTTCACCTCATATGGGGGAGCTGCCCAGAATCCTACTTGCTGGCCTGGCATGTGGACAAGGGGCAGGGAGGCTGGGGGACTCAGGCTTTGTGCCCATGGGCAAGGTCAAGCCTTGGTGCAGACTGTAAACGAGTTATGAAATGAGGCCGGCTGTCCAAGTGGGCTGGGGGCAGGGCAGGCAGGGACTTTGACCCCGCCGTTTCCCTCCAGTTTCACTCACAGCGTGACTGAGGTCCTTGCTCCAGCCCTGCCTGCTCGTTCTGTTTTCTATTCCTTTTTTCTTTACTTTCTTCACCCTTCCTCCGTCTGTTTCCCTTTCACCCTCTCTTGCTCCCGGCTCCACCCCTGCGGTTACTGTGGCAACAACTCAGAGCCAGAAATAAAGGCAAGATCCAGCTAGGTCACCAGTTCCCAAAACAGCATCCCAGGGCGGAGAGGAGAAGGGGTGGGCGGCTCGGACCTGAGGGAGCAGGGAGGCCCAGGCCCGCTCCAAGGGCGGGCTCTGTGTGGGGGGGGAGGGGTGGCACCCACGCTCCCTCAAAAAGGATGTGATGAGAGCAGGGGAGGGCTTCCTGCTCCGGGCCAGTGGCTCATCGGAGCCTCCCTCACCTTGGTCAGGCCTGAGGCCCGTGCCTTTTCTAAGGCTAGCGAAGCCATCACTCCCTCCTCTCATTTTCTCCTTCTCCCTCACCCCCATTCTTAAAGCCCTGTTCTACCTGCTAGGACAAGGGTTGGAGTTCTTCTAATGCTAACACTATACAGCACCCTCTCACACTCTGGGGAGCATCCGGCAGGGCCCAGTGGGCCAGAATCTGGGTCCTGGCCTAAGAACCCACCTGTTCAAGGCCTTGCCTCCCTTTGCTCCTGAGGACAGCAGGACTGGGCCCAGGCACCCCTCCTACCTAACTCGAATATGCATCTATTCATCCTGTTTCTCTTAGATCTCTTTCTTGAGTTTTAATATCCTCTCTATCTACCCTCTGAGGAGTCCCTCTTTGTGTGCCCCCAGCCCCTCAGGCTTGCTTGGTCATGTTCCTGCTCTGGCCTCTATTTATAGCTGGTCTTGTTGGCGAGCTATAGTGTCATTTGTACAAGCTGGATCAATAGGGCTGGGGGAGATGCAAGGAACTCACACCCCAAAATCAGCTTTCTGAATTATGAGGCATCCCTGTCTGGTCTTTGCACACCCACCTGAGCTCCGAAAGAGGAATTCCCATCAAGGTGCACCCCAGGGTGGACAGCCTGCCAAGGCGTTTGACACATGGCCACGTAGAGGCCGCAGCACTGAAGCGAGACTCACACGTGGGCACAGGCAGGAGCGCCCACACTGAAGCTCAGCTGCAGAACTCACGCACCTGCTCACAAGATCACACCCCCACTCTCCCGGCGAGGCCCCCACAAAATGACACACAGCGCCGTCGACACCCTCGCGCATCCACCCACCGATCCTCCCCTTCACAGCCACTCGCGCCATGTGCCGACACCCTCTCCCCAAGCTGTGCACGTGTACGGCAACATACCCAGAGTCGCCCATCTTTACCCACCCCGTGGGGCGTCCTGTGCCACCCATCTCCAAAGCACGACTGCCTCCGTCTCTTAGACCTTAGACCTGCTCCCCTGACTCTGGCACCCCGGCAACACAGTCTCCTGGGAGGGACACACCGGGTGCATCTGCCGGGGAAAGGGTGCTTGGCCTGTCAGGCGGAGGGAGGGCACAACTAGCAGGGGCGCCTCTGGATCCTGGGGGGCCGGCATGTCTGCTGGGCCCCCAGCTCCCAGCAGGGCAGCAGCCAGCAGCGAGAGCACACTGGGGTCAGACCCGCGGCCACGCCCTGCCACCCAACCTCATTCCGCATTTGGCCCTCACCCAGCCTGGCCAGCCAAGGGCGAGAAGGGGGCTCCCCAGGGTGCTCTCCCCAGGAGCACGCCCTACACCAGCAGCATTTAGGCCTCTGTGTGAGCCGCTCCCCCTCAGGGTCTGTGGTGCCGTGGGCGGGAGGCTGACAATCCTTTTCTCCCCCTTCCCTGTCCTTTGGCAAAGAGGAAGCGGCTCCCCTGCCCACCCTGGGCCCCGTCCCTTCACTCGGACTTCTGGGCCACACACCTAGGTGAAGGGGGCACTGGGGTGACAGCATGAACACCCCAGCCCCTCTGCCTTAAATCAGAGGGCGGTTTGATCAGATCTGGCCAGCGGGCCATTCTCCCACTGAACAAGCGGCCACAGCTGGCCCTGCCCAGGGTCTCCCTGCCACCACCCAGAGCCTTTCTCCCAGGCTGGGGTTGCAGCCCAGAGCACCCAAAGAAGGGAAGAGCATGGGAAACCCTGCCACCTACCTGTTCCCAGTTTGGCCCAGACACCCTGAGCCCCAAGGCCGGGCAGGGACAGGCGCAGGCCCAGGTCCCAGGCTGTCCTAGGTTGTAGCAGGCATCTCTTCCAGGAACTCAGCTGTGCTTTCTCAGAGCACAAATAGCAGGAAAAAAAGCCGGCTGGGGTGTGGTGGTGGGGAGCTGGCGAAGGAGGGGACCTACCCTACTGGGCTCCCCCTCCCTAGCCCCCACGCGGCTCCTCCACAAGCCTGGTGCCTGGATCCCTGTGCTGGGGAGTCTGTGTCTGGCAGGTGGGTGGGCAGGACAGCGGGCGGCCGCCGGCTCCCCGCTCTCTCCCCACCTCCAGCTGATAGCGTGCGGCCAGCCCGGGGTGTGTTCGTGTGTGTCTGCTCTTCCACCTCGCTCTCGCTCACTGCAGCTCAATCCCTTTCAAACAAGAGGAGCATTAAGCCGGCATCATGACGAAGCAGAATCGGAAGCAGACTGGGCCAGCCGCTGGCCTTTTTCCCTTTCCCACACCCCCAACCCTGCAACACTCATGCTCACACATACGCAGCCCCTCGAGCCTTCTCATAAACAGCCAGAGTTTGATTCCTGTGGGGGGGGGGCGGGGGGAGGGAGAGGGTGGACAGGGCTCTGCTGGTAACCGAGGGGTGACAACACCTAGTTTCTCCAAGCACCTGTATCTCCTACTCAGCACCTAACAGCAGCCACAGAGGCCTCTGGGGTCCCTGCCTCTCTGCGGTGCTAAAGGGTGCTGAGGGCTAGGGGTGTGGGCACAGATGCCAGAACTGGTCACGCAAGGATTAACCCTCTTTTGCAGAGCGTGGATGGGGAGATTGGAAAAAGCAGATCCTCAGCACAAGAGGCTGGGCTGGCCCCTTAGGAACATGAATCCCCTGAGAACTTCAGCAGAGCCCAGCGGTGGCGGTTTGAGTGAGAAGGACCCCTTTTCTTGACAGGACAACTTCATCAAAAGGGAACTTCCTGTCAGGTGATGCCCAAGTCCCAACATAGAATTTCAGGGATGCACCTTCCCTGTCTCTGGGACGACCTCCACTGCTCCAGGACCTTGTCCCTGGCCTTTTGGTTCCTTCTGGGTTCCGAGCGGAGCCCAGTTCATTTGTGACACCCAGGGGCAGGCAGGGAAGGGAGCCCAGGCAGCTGACCCTGGCCCTGGCCCCTGCCTCTCTCCACCTCCGCCTAGCATACCTGCCTACCTAGGCAGCCCTTTGCTGTTGCCCTGGTAACCACTGCCCACAGCCGGTCAGCTGATGTATCAGCTGTCAGTTGGGGAAATCTAGAAACTGGGGAGGGGCTCTGGGGTATCTGAATGGAAGATCACAGGGGAGGGTCTTGAGGGAGACAAGTGGGAGTGTGCCCCGGGACCTCTGTTTCCAAAAGAAGGGGACAGGAGGGGGCAGGTAGGGACAGGAAGGGGAGGATGTGTCTGGGTTAGTGGAAGACAGAGAAGAATGAATCCCAAAAGATGGGCTCCAGCAAGAAAGGAGAAAGGAAGAAGGCTGAGAAAGAGTAGAGTCCGGACTTAGCTGCGGTGCATGTGGCGGGGGAGAGGGCCCTGTGGGAAGGCACGGGACAGCGGGGCGTCGGGGTGGGGCAGGGTCCATCTAGCCATGAATAAAAAGCCAGGAGGTGATGTGGGAGGGGATGTACCTTTGATGTCTCAGGAGGGGTACAGCCTTGGAGGAGAGGAACCAGGCCTCTCTGGGTAACCAGGCTGGCCCTCCGCCAGCCTCTCTGCTTTCTCTCCCTTCCACCCCACCCTCACTGCCCTGGCCCCACCCTAGGCCTGCACAGCCTCCCTCCACCTCTCCCAGAGGCCAAGCGCCAGGCGCTTTTACGCCTCAGCCTTTAGGACAGCAGCCGATTGTTCCACTACCTCGGGTCCTCCCCCACTCTCGCTCGCCCCTTGCCAGACCCCATCCCAGGAGGTTTGACTTCCTGTGCAAGGGTCCCCAGAGGTGGGGCTGGAATAAGCTGCTGTCGGAAAGGGCAGCCGTGGACAGGGGCCTGGAGAGAGGTGGCTCATGAGGAATGGGTAACAGTCTCCAGGCTGGGAGGAAGGGAGCATTCTCCTCAGAGAAACGAGCATGTTGAATGGGGTGGGGGGGCGGTCAAGGGGAAGGAAAGCAGGGAGTGGGGAGGGTTCACGGTACCTTCAAGGGCCTGGGGCGTGGGGCAGGAGCACGGCAGCTTCCTCGGTGACATACACCTCCATCCCTCGGCGCATCTCCTCTCCGCCTCCCGTTGCCAAGACAACCTGCCGGCTCAGCTGAGGAGGCGGCAGGGAGGGGGGAGGAGGTGGCTGTGGCTCCTACTGCTTCTTCTTCAGTGATGGAGGGAAGGGGCCTGAGGTAGGCCTCTCTGCCGGGGTTGGGGGCAGCTTCAGGAGCCGGGCTCCCACCCTGCCCCACCACTCTCCCCTCCCCGCTTCCACAGGGCTCTGGGATTGGCTCCTGGGATGGCTTCAGGAGAACCCTAATTTGGGGCCAGATAACAGGCTGTGGAGAGGGAGGCAGTCCTGGGCAGTGGCCCCCCATTCCAGAAAGCTCAGTGTGGAGTTGGGGGAGAGTGATAGGAACGAGGGAGGGGCAGGCTACACTGGAGGGTTGGAGGGTGGCTTCCAGCAGGAAGCAGAGGTCCTGGACATGGCTGGGCTGGGTACATGGCTGCGGGCCCGGAAGCCTGCCCCCATCTGACCTCGGCCACCCTGAGCCCCTCCTCCTAGTCCTCAAACCTCTCATTCCCTTCCACCTACAGGAAAGTCAGAGCCTGGGACAGTGCTCTTCCAGTCCCACAAGGCCCATTCCCACTGCCACCAGCTCCGTAGGAATGTCCCTCAACAGGCAGAGCCACCTTGGGCTGGAACAGTCTTCAGCCAGCCAGCCCTGGAACCAGGGGGATTGCAGAGTTAGGGCTCCCTCTGTCGACCTGAGGCATGGTAGCCGTCAAGGTCATTTCTTGCTGAGAAGGATCCTGGTGTGTGTGTGTGTGTGTGTGTGTGTGTGTGTGTGTGTGTGTGTGTGTGTTTGCGCACGCGCTGGGGGGTGGTTGTGTGTGTGTGTGTGTGTGTGTGTGTTTGTGCAAGCGCTGGGGGTTGGTCCAGAGGGCACACTCAGGCCAGGAGACCCTCCTCTAGCCTGCCGCGCCCCACCTCCTCCTCACCTCTGGCCTCGACCTACAGAGAGACTTGCTCTGCCTCCAGCCCCATCCTCCTGGGAAGGCCCCAGACTCCTCAAGGCCAGCTGAACCATCCTCTCCCATTGCTTGCGTACCTCCCCGTCAGGCTGGGATGAGAAGTAAGGCAAAATCTGCCCCCCAGAAGCAAGCAACACTGAACACCAGGTGCCTGTTAGCCCAGGCCCCAGGGCGGGCTTTCTGGGCACTGCTTGGCCTTCCCCAGGAGGCTGGTAACAGGATTAGCATACCTTTAAGCCCAGGAATTCCTTGAGGCCTTGAGGATGGGCACTGGAGTCCACAGCAGTGCTGGGGCTCCTGCCCCTAACAGGCAGCCGTCCCAGGCCCAGGCACCTGGTTCTTAATTCCTTTCCCCAGCAAGGTCACTGGTGCCAGATGTTCTCTCTCTCTCTCTCTCTCTCTCTCTCTCTGTCTCGCTCCAGTGCCCCTCGCCCCGCCCCATGCATGGCCCTACTGAGAAGGGGGGCACCAGGGACTCCCCTGTGCTTACACGGTCTGGTCTAAATATTAACTCCCGGAGAGGCTGAATAGGGCACCCGGGCACCTAAGGAGAAGGGAAAGGTGACGGAGAACTGGGCCAGAGGAATAAAAGGAAGGACGAGGGCTAGAAGGGACCCTCCCTGCAGCCCCTCTAACTGTACCCTCTATCTCCTGGACCCCAAGCCTCAGCCCCAGCACGCTACCCCTAGACCAGCCTCTCTCCCAAACCCCGATCCACAATTGCATCTGCTTTACTCCCCTTCTCAAAGCTCCTCATTATCTCCTCCCCAAGGAAGCATAAAGACCACACTCTGCGGAATGTGACCCCAGTCACTTCCGGCCGCTTTACTACGCAAACCTTCAGTTCTAGCCAAACCGATCAACTGCTCACCTTCCCCTGAACACACCTCACATTTTCCTGCCTTTAGGCCTTTCTTCTCATGCTGTTCCCACTCTCAGAGTTTTCTTTCCCCTTGCACGCCTTCTCCGCTTGCTGAAATCTTGCTTGTTCTTAAAGATCACGCAAAGCCCAGCTCTTCCCCAGTGCCCCACCCCACGCACTCTTCTGCCCCAGAACCCACCCACCGTGCCTGGCTGGGGAGTGGAGACCATCCCATTCGAGGCGTTGAAGACCGGACAGAATCTAGACTGTAATGCTCACTGGCCGTGACCGAGGATGACTTAACGTGTCTGCGTTCGAGCTCGAGCTCGCCCACGCACGGCGTGGGAATCTTCTCACCCTCTAGATGAGGGGTTCTAAGTGCGCATGCATCACGTGCTGCCTGGCACGTCACCAGCGCTCTGTGCACAGTAGTGTCCTGACTTCCCATAGCTCTTATTTCCTCTTTCGCTCTTTTAGGATGCGCCAAATGCTGCTTTGCTGCCTTAGGTGTAAGAGAGAGCATTCCAAAAGTCCCACCAAAGAACTGCTCTTTTATGGCTTTATCCCCACCATTAAGTTTCAAGTGTCTTGAGAGCTTGACGAGGGGTGACACAATATCTTGTCCATCTTTTTTTTAACACCGAAGGACTAGCACAGTGCTTATATGTTGCAGGGAGTAGATAAATATTTTGATTAACTGCTTGGACCCCTCCCCTCCCAGGGCCATCTAAGGATGGAGGGTGAAGGCCGGATTCTGGCTTCTCATCCTGCATCCACCTTGAGGGATGGAAGGGTGCTGGGCCAATGATGCCTTTCTGGGCCTTCTGTTGGTTTATTCTCTCAATAAGTCCTTACTGTGGATAATGTACTGTGCTGGGGGCGGGGGAGGCAAAGACGGACTATTTCTACATCTGAGGCACTTGCTGTCTAGCAGATCCCTAACCCGAGCACAAATATAAGGATGGTCTGGGCCAGCTGTGATATGTGCCACAGGGCAAGGGTGAGTCCCCCGAGAGAGAGAGAGAAAGTCCACAGGGCAGAAGAGGCGGCTGCAGAATGGATGTGTAAGCTTCCTGGAGGAGGGCATGCTAGGCCATGGGAACCTCGTGAACAAAGATGAGCACAGCGCCCTTGCTGGACGGCAAAGTTGCTGTTTTGCCAGCATTTTCCAAGGGGGGCTGTAAGGATGGGGCTGAGAAGGGTGCCTGGACAGGATTGCGCAGGAGTCTTGAAAACCACGCTCAGAAGTCTGCCAGTGATCGTGTGTCGAGGACAGAGCTGTGGCTGATGGTAGGGTAAGGCAAGCTGAACAAACTGTGTGATGTTTTGGAGTGTGTGTGTGTCGGGGGGTGGGGTGGGGGGAGTAGCAGGAGGCAGAGAGACCGTTTAGAAAGCTTTGCAGTGATTGAGACATCCCGGCGAGGTCTGGCAATGATGTCCCAGAGTCTGGAGGAGAAAGCGGTCGTGGGCAAGGGGGTGAGAGTGGAGATGCTGGACTGCTCAGAGAGACGACATGAAGAACAAGGCGGGAAGAGGTGGCAGAAGTTTTAGGGAATGTTTCTGTGAAGAGGAGCCAGGAAAGAGAAGATCCAAGTGGGGAGAGAGTGAATGAAAAAAGGACAGTCTGTGGCAGGCTGAGGGAGGAAAGAGCTTCAAAAAGGCGTGGTCCTTGGCAGCGTCCAGGGCTGTAAATCTGAGGACACCAAGGTCTGAAGCAAGGCTTATGGTTTGGTGACTGGAAAGGCACTGCCACTGGAGTCTGAGAGACAGGGTGGAATGGAGCGATGCATGGAGAAGCCAGCTTGCGAGGACTAAAAAGAGAGTGGATTCCCCGTGTGACCTCACGCTTTGCCCTCTGCCTCACCTGGGTGTTCGGAGGACGGGACAGAGATCAATAGGGAGACTATTCTTAGCTCGAGTTCTTGGTAATCCTAAACAGGCACAGGATATGAGGCACGATGCCACCACCTCCCTCCACCTTGTCACACCCTCCCTGAGATGAATGTGTTCATCTCTCCCCGAGCCCTCCCCTACTGTGTCACCCCCATCCACACACTTTGGACATGCAGAAGCCACCAGGTGAGGGCAGTCTGAGGCCCAGTGGAAGCCTCCTTCCCACCCCACACTCGTATACGTTAAATCAATCTGAGGTCCTGGGACCGGACATCCATGCCTCTGGCCGCTTCCTGTTAGTGCCTTCACAATCCCCAATTCAGAGGGAATGAGCTGGGCAGACTTCCCCAGAGTGTGAAGAGCCACCCTGGGTACGGAGCCTGGACTCAGCAAGTACGAAGAGGCACCAGATGGTGTGGTGAGAAAGTGCAGAGCGCCCAGCCAGGGACCCAAGGCCACAAGTAGGCATCGGACCGCCGGGCTCAGGCTTGGAGTGGGGCGCAGGCACTCTGAGATGGCACAGGCCTCCAAGCTGCCTTCCCCATTGTGGTTCTCCCAGTCAGGTCTCACCTCAAATAGCAAGAAAGGAGACAGTGAAGGCTTTCTGGAGCCGGCCCCCAGAGGCCTGTCTGTGCTGGGGAGGTCAAAGAGAGGGAGGGAGGGGCCGAGAAAGGCAGAGAAGAAAGCGGAGGCAAGACAAAGGGCCCGTCCACCTTTGAAGCTGTCTCTAACCCGAGCCAGGGAGGGCGGGGGTGGGCCTGAGAGCCGGCTGCGGGGAGGCAGGCTAGAGTTTTAAAGAATGTCTCAAATTCCTGCGGAAATCAGAGGGATTGTAAGAGCTCTCCCTCCCCAACACACCTCCTTCCCACCCCGCTCTCCCAGACCCCCGAGTCCAGCCCTCCACACCCTTTGTCCTCAGGTAATTGCTGGGTGTTGCCCCTGGGTTTAAAATCCCATTGAACTCACCGGTTATCAGCTGTGGCTACAGACCACCCTCCCTACACACCCCCCAGAAAATAACCCCCAACACAGTTCCCGCAGTCTTCACCCGGATTAAGGCTCTTTGTGATTGGGGGACAGAGAAAAAAGGGACCTGGTGAAAAGCAATTATGACAAGCTGGAGGGAGGATGTCCTGGGGCCCGGGGACCTCCCTCTTGGCTGCGGTGGCAGTCTAAATTGCCGAGCCGGGGGTGTCAGACTGGGTTACAGTCCTCACCAAGTGAGAGGTGAGAGACCTCCCCCCGCCCCCCCCACCTCCGTCAACTCGGACTACTGTTACCCTCACCTCCGGTTTGGACTAAACCAGGCCCCTCCACAAACTCCCCGTTCTGTCCTTATTTCTAGGCCGTTCTTGGGAGAAGGGATGTCTTTCATTTTTCTTCTCTCTCCATGATCCCCTTCCCTGACATATTCTCAGAAAGGAGGGAAACTGAGGCTCGCAGTCCCTGAGCAGGAGACAGAGCTCCATGCGGGCGTTTCCCCTGAGGCACGGACTGGGGGTGGGGGCGGAGGTGGGGGCCCGGAAGTCTACAGGGAGGGACCTTCCTCCAACAAGATTAAAAGCCAATGCGAAGGACCGAAGAGGCGGGTTTTATGGCCTGAGTTCCATCCCCCAAATGCGCACCTGGGGGCGTCTCCGAAAGCCCACCCGAGACACGCCCTTCGGTCCTCTTCCGTCCCCTCCCCTCGGGAGCCGCCAGGCTGCGGCCTCTAACTGAGGCGTCCCCTCAGGTGCACCGGCCCACTCGAAGTGGACCTGGGAGAACGAGAACGAGGGGACACTTTCTCGTCCTCACTCTCCCTTCTGCTCATCTGCGCCCTCCTTCCCCGCCCCGACCCTCCTCACCCGAAAGAAAGCAATTCAGCTCCTGGTCAGGCGGCTTCAGCGGCCCGGACGCCGGGCCTGCTGCCCGGCTGGCCGCCCGCCCAGCCCGAGGCTCGGCCCCAGGGTGTGGGTTCTCTGCGCCCCAACAGGTAGCACGGGACGCACCGGGAGAGACAGGAAACCGGAGCCCGCGGAGGGAGGGGCGCCCTGGACTCTCTCAGGAGGAGGCGCTGGCCGAGGCCACCCTGCCCCGCGGGCCCTGCACCTGCCCTTTGCCCGGGCACTGCACGTCCCTGCACTTCTTTGAGAAGCCAGAATGTCACCAGTGAAGTTTTGGAGTTGAGTCCCGCCTTCTTTGAGAAGCCAGAATGTCACCAGTGAAGTTTCGGAGTTGAATCCCGCCACACACACACACACACACACACACACACACACACACCGCCCCCCCACCCCCCTTTCAGATCACCCGTTTTCAAGAAAATGGTTTTATTCTGGGGCTGGGAGCTGGGCGTAGGAGTGCAGGCCTGGGTAGTGAAATGTGAAGGATGGTCAACCTCTTTTTTTCTCCCTTTTTCATTTTTCCTGAAACAAAAAGTAAAAGTCCCTTCCTACAGTCTGGCTAGGAGGAGTTTGGGGGGCAGAATGAAGGGAATCTGAGTCCAGTGACACTACAGGTCTGTCCTAGGGCCTGTCCCACCCCGGGGGCCTGTGCCAGGGTGCGGTGCAGGACGCTGCCCTGAGGCCCAGCCCTGGCTGACGTGAGTCCTGCCCCTCTCCAGCTCCCCTCTCCAGTTCCGGGCTCTGACTCCTGTGGGTCCTCAGGGCCCTCCTGGGGGCCTGTGTCTCCCCTCCTCCACCCCAGCCCCGTCTTTGGATTAGGAAGAGAAAGGGATGGGAAAGCTGGTGACGGGCAGCTGCCCCCACCCTGTGTCCCTGACTACGTCAGGGGCTGTGGCCTCCGAGTGCGCTTGGTCCGGCGGGTGGGTGTTGAGCCCACAAACTCGAACTGCTTCTGCCTCTCGACTTGGTTGGGAAAGGGCAGCTGGCCCTCGTAGAGCCGCTTGATGAAGTGCGCCTCCCGCTGGTTCTGGCGGCTGCGGGAGGCCTGGCGGGGCCTTCCCTGCCGCGTGAAGGCCATGAACCAGCCCTCGCGCCGCGCGTTCTGGAAGGCCGTGTAGTTGTTCTCCAGCACGATCTCCGTGAACACGCAGTCTTTGCTTTTCCCGCTGGGCTGTGGGGGAAGGAAGGAGAGGCGGGAAGTTTGTCACCCACCCCGTCTGCCTTATCTGCCTTGTGGGCCTATTTTAGGATGGAGGAGAGAGCAACGGGGGCTGGCAGCCCAAGGGTTTCTGCCTAGTGTGACTGTGCCCTGGTGGGAGAGGCAAAGCCGGGAGCCAGGAACAGCTTTGCTTGAAGTCAGATCGGAACTTAAACACAGGCTTGTCCTTTGGAGGTTGTACACCTTGAGTGACGTATTGAGCCAACGGGCTCAGCCTCAGTTTACTGAGATGGGGCATCGAGGTCAAGGTAATTGTGCAGTTTCGTGCATACCCCGTGGGCTCTTACACATGAGAGCGGGCCTCGGTCTGGGTGGATGGTGTGGCTGGGTGGAGGGAAAGGAGGCACCAATCTCTGATGAAAATAGGGGACAAACATTTATAGACACCAACTGTGTCAAGAGCCACACAGGCACCCCTTTGACCCTATAGATAACCTAGATGCTATACCCATTTGCACAGATGAGAAACTTGAGGCTTGGGGGAAATAGAATCAGCAGCTATTTGGTGAGAACAGAAGCCAGGACTGACCAGTGTCAAAGGAAGTGGAGTTCTCCCTCCATCACAGTGCTGGACCCGCCGGTGCAGGACAGGCCGTCGCACTAGCTGGTGGTTGCACTAGTACCTGGTCACACGTGCAGGCAGGCAGTGTGCATATTGCTGGTTGGATCTGGAAGGGCCCACTGACCTTGGGGGGAGCTCCCGGCCGTGTATGTATGCTCATTCTCCACCCTGATCGCAGGGGCTGCGACATCGCGTAGGGGCTGAGATTCTTACGCATGAATGCTGAGAAGTACCCCAAAAATCTGAGGCAAGGATTCTGTAGAGCAGCCAGTGTCCTCAGAGCGCTCGTAGACCCCGAGGGACTCATCGAAAGGGAGAAAGCGGACAGCGGCAGCGTGGCGGGCGAGGGCAGGACGGTCTTGGTCCCGGGTCGCCCCGTGAATGGGGGTGGGTTGCTGTTGGGCCCTGCACGCCCCACCCCAGAAGCCAGGCATCTGCTGCATTTCTCGGGCCTCACCTTGCCGATGAGCTTGCCCCGCTTGCTCATGCAGATGTATTTCTCACTCTCGGCTCCCTTGATGCGCACCCGGCTCCCGAACGTGTCCGTCTCCACTATGAGCTTGGCTGTGATGGGGGAGGGGGAGAGAGACCTCTGTCTTTTAAGGTTGCTGGCCCAGGGGGGCGGCAGGGGCCCTCCAACCAGCCCGACCTTTGAACTTGGGTGGGGAGCACGGGGAGGCCCTTGGGGACCCTCCTCCAAGAGGCTTCTCCCTGCTCTCCCATGGCGACCTCCGCCCTGACATGGGATCTGGGGACAGACCAGGTGAGGCTGGCCAGGGGTGTAGGTGGCTTCTGGTGAGGGCTGGGTCTCACCAAACTTGTTGCCATCCTCAGCAGTGGCCGAGATGCGACGCCCAGTGACCTGCACGTGCTTGCCGCTGGTCCGGCTGTAGAGCTGGTACTCGCGGATCTGTCGCCTGCTCAGCTGGTCAGTCATGGCGCCCTGGTCCCTCACATACTGGTTAAAATTAGGAGACGGGTGATTCTCCCCCTTTGCGGTTACCAAGGGAAAAATAGTGTCAATTTGCTTTGGGCGACACCACCACCGGTCCATCTGGGGAGAGGGGTGCAGAGGTGAGTGTGGTGGGGGCAGGCCATTTGTCCTGGGAAGCAGAGGTGCAGGGCGAAGGGGCATACGGCCATGACCTTCTCAGGCCAGTGGGTGAGCTAGTCCTGACCTCTTGGCTCCCTGTCCAGCCAGAGAGCTGGTGGCTGCCCAGAGTTGGGGAATATTTGGTGATGTGGTGCAGACTTGCAACCATGATTCTGGGAGCTGGAAGGAACCCTCAACGTTCTGGATTCTGATCCCCATGTTCTGTGCAGGAGGTGCACAGGGTGACACAGGTAATTAGAGACAGAAGCCCTGTCCTGCCCTTAGCGTCGTTGCTCGTCTCCTCTCCAGGACTCTGGGGCGTCGGTCCTGCTAGCCAGGACAAACGGATTTCTCCTCCATCCTTCCCGCTGGCCTCGAAGGACCCCACCCCCGGCATACACGTGCAGATAGCAGCTGGAGGGTCACTGGAGAGCATTCTGGGAGCTCTAAGACTCTTCTCTTTAGGCTCCTACAGGGCCCCTGTTGGCATTTCTTGACAGCACTAACCGTGGAATCCTAAGCCAGACGCAGCTCCCTTGCCGGTAGCCCCGGGTGCTTGGGGCCCTCGGAAAAGCCAGGCCGCTCCCACTGATTCTCCCTCCTCCAAGGGCGAGACCCTCCTTAGCAGAGGGAGGTGAAGGCAGCAGAGAGAGGTGCCATCAGCGGCCTGAGGGCTCCTTCCAGAGGCTGCCTGCCTGTGCCACAGTGTTACAGGCTCCCGGCCCCAGGGGCCATGCTGCCACCCACCCGCTTCCCCAGGAGCGGTGAGGGGCCGTTTCCACCCACGCACCGTGACGCACCATGACGCACCATGACAAACCGAGGCAGGACAAGTACCTAGTCCAGGCCGGTCTCTTCCTACCATCCGCAGCACTGATTGGGAGAGAGACCATTTCTTGCCCTCTTTCACGGGCAAGGGTCAGCCTGGATGACGTGTCCCAGCGGCTGGCCATGGCCTTAGCTCTAGCACTAAGATGTTTCTCTCTCCACATGGATCCTGTGGTCTGTGCTGGGACAGCCTTTCCCTGTCTCCAGTCTCTAAGTCCACCTTTGTCCCAGGCCAGACTGTAACCATCGGACAGAGCTAGACCTGGGGCAGCATCTTCGAGGGCCACTCTCTCCTGGAGGGAGGGCTGAGAAGCGGGAGCCGCTGACCTGCTCCATGTTAACCCTTCGTGTGTGTCTTTGCTCACGTCCAGCTTCAGCTCTTCCACAGGCCAGGAGTGTTGCCAGGACCCCAGGCTAGGACACCCCAGCCAGCCCACCCCGCACCCCGCCCTGGAAAAACCTGAGGCCCGGATCTGGGGTGGGAGATCTGCCTCCCTGCCAAGGGGTGGGGTCTGCCTGTCCCCAGCCCCAAGCCTCCTGGCCCAGGGTCAGGCCCTCCGCCCCTCTTGGCGGGCAGCCTCCTTCTGGCTGTCTGTTCCAGGTCGGGAGCAGAGAGGGCCCCCCTGAAGCCCCCTCCACTCCTGGTCCCCCTTCAAGCCCTGCACAAAAGCAGCCCCACGCCCCCCCACAGCCCACAGCCCACAAGTCGCTCTCCCCGCGGGACCTTGCCTGTCCCTTTCATGTTCCCGCTGCAGGGGACCTCCCCTTCCACTGCGGCCGACAGCTGCTTGTCAGCCAGCCCCTCAAGCATGGCTGTGGTCCGGCCTGCTGGCCCCCCCTCCAAGGGGGCTGAGGGGGCACTTCAAGGGGGAAAGGACAGCTTTGCCACCTTCCCCAAGTCCTGAATGGGGCCTCAGCCCGGCCGTAAACGCCAGGCCAGCCAGCACCATTGTGCGAATTCCCCTTCCAGAACAGGTTGGGCCCACCCCCAGCCCCCCCCTGGCCAGGCTGGGGGGCTTTCTTCTTGCTCTCCCTGGATGTGTGAAGCAAAAGGCCTGGGACGGGGGCTTGAGCAAAAGGGGGAAGGAAAAGGGGGGGCCGTCTCTCTCTCTCCCACCCCCCCACTGCTTCAAAGGCAGCCCCTTTCCCTCTCCCAGAGAAAAGGCATTTACCTTCAAAAAAAGTCCCCCCTGGATATGAAGAGAAGCGGCCTCTGGCCTGGGAAAGCCAAGCGATCTCCCCAGCCGGTTCTGGACCAGTGCATTTTAATAGCTGCACTTTTATGGAGGATCACAAAAAGGGACCCGAGCCCCGCGCGGGGGTGGGCTGGGGAAAGTGGGCGTGGGGTGGGCTGACTCGGGTGGGGGCAGCCTGGGGAAGCAAACCCCAAATCTTGTTCCCAGCAACCCCTTTGCGTTTGACCACATTGCCTGTAGGTGAGGAGTCACCCTCCCCTCCCCCCTCCCCCCCCCCCCACACACACACACACGCACCGGCTGGGCATTCTGACTGCCTGCATGAACCCCCGGGGCATCTGCGCCGGTGGGGTGGGGGCGTGAGTGGAACACATAGGTGGTTTTGCATGGAAACCTGTCCTTTCAGGTCTGAGCCTCACCTGAGCCATCACCTCTGCCCTCTTCCAGCCACTCTCAGCTCCATCCCTCAAGTCGGGGTTGCCCTGGCACTTAGCCTTCAGGTGACCCAGTGTGGAGGGATGGAGAGAGAGAGGCAGAGACCCCAGGGGAAGGAGAGAGGGTCACGCGAGGCAGGACAGATGAAAACCTTAGACAGTCCCCAAGTCTGCCATAGACTTTTCTTCTACCCCCCCTCCAAAGGCTGACCCCCGCCTCCCTAAACCTCAGAGCCTCCTGGACCCAGGGATGGTCCAGAACTTGCCTCTGTCCACCAAAACCAGACTGCCCCCTCCCTCACTGGGCGGGGTGGGAGAGATGGGGAGAGGCCAGTGGGGGCAGCTCACCTACCTGACTTTGACAGCAGAGGATCAGTAGCTGCAAGCACCTGTGTGGGGACCAGGTGTGGGTGCGAGCAGCCAGCCCAGGGGGCACCGGGCACCCATCCCTGCTCACACCCCTGACCCACCCACCATCTGCGTGGGAGTCCCGGGAAGATTAGGGCTGCCCGAGGCTGGCGATGGCAGTGAAGCTGCAGACGGAGAGGCCGCACACTTACAGAGTGAAGCTGGGCAGCGGGCGGGCGGCTCCCATCGCCGGAGAGGTTGCTTGGGTCGGCTGCCCCCTGCCCCCAGACTCAGGAGCAGACGTGGGCAGGCCCCAGGGGTAGAGTCCCAGAGAAGCCAAGGTCTCCTCGAGCCACAGGTTTTCAGGGGGGAGAGGAGGAGAGAAAGGGGAGGAGGAGGAGAGAGGAGAGAGGGGAGGAGGAGGAAGAGGGGGAGGAGGGCGTAATTGGGAGACTGAGGTGTGAGGTGTCCACCTTCCCGGCCAGTGAGACTGCGAAGCCGCCGCTGGCGGTGCTGCCAGCCTCTCCTGGACTCCCGGAGGTCAGAGGATGGGGCTGCTGGAGTTTTCTCGAGAGGAGGCTGGCCCCGTGGTCTCCAGTTATTCCTGAGCCTCACAGACCCCGATGGGCGTGCCCCTTCCTTCCTCTCTGGGTCAGCGTCCCCTGCCCTCAGGTTTAGCGCCCCACCCCTGAGGGTGAGGGCAGGTATCAATCTGGGGTCGCCGGGTCTGGCTCAGGGGTAGAAATTCCCTGAAGCAGCCCGAAAAGGAGGAGCCTCTCTGTGGGGGTCAGGAGGTGGGCTTGGCCAGGAGCTGCAGCTTCCACGGCCCCTGGCTCCCTGTAACTGCTATCTGGCCACTGGAACGAGGGGTTAAGTGTGTCCCAACTGGCAGTGAATAGTGGGTGTGACGGCTTGGGGGTCAGGGACTGTGAAAGGTCGCCATGGAGCCCCCAAAGCTGGCCTGGGCTGGGAACAGAAGAGCTGGCCGCACTGCACGGGCGCAGGCCGCCTTTCTCCGGGCCTCTGCAGTTTCCTCTGAGAGAAGGGAGCAGGAAGGCCCCAGGACGATGGAGGACCCAGAAACTGCACTTAGCAGACGTCAAAAGGTCTGTGCTCCGGGCCTCACTCACTCACTGTCCCCCTGGGGCAGCAGCCCGCCCCCCGCCTCTCAAGACGTCCTCCTGGCAGCTGCCTGCGGCACAGCGCCCACCAGCCTCTTCACATGACCTCTGGCCCCCACACTGCTCTGTTCCAGGCCAGCTAGTACCCCATCCTGCAGATGAGGAAACTGAGGCACCTGAATCGCCCGGCTCCGGAGCGGCAAGTCCATGCTCTCTCCATTCCAGTGGGTTGTGTCTGGAGTCGTGTGCACGCCCCCAGGGCCCAGTACCACCCGGGCGCCCTGGTAGCCCAGGGCCTTCCTGGAAGCGGTCCCCTCCCTACAGGAGGTGGGTGATGGTGGCTGTGGAAGGGGCTGGTGCTGGGGGACATTTCGGGAACAAGACCCGCCCTCTCCAGGGAAGCGGAGCTTAGCCTCCCAGTCTCCTCTCTAGGGGTCCCAGTGCCCTCTGGGTGGGAGGCACAGGGAGCCCTGGATGTGGATTTCTTCACCTAAAGAGATGAGTGGGAGGGCAAAGCTCTCACCTCCAGGCCTCATTCTCACCTCCCTGAGCTAGGTCAATCCACAAAGTTGTCTGCCACCCCTTCCCCCACACAGACAGCGGGGACACCTCCGCCCTGTCCAGTTCCAGCACCTGGCTCCCAACCCGCGCCTCCCCCTCTGCCAGCAACCCCCAGCTGGCCGGGCCAGTGGACGGAGGGCGGTGTTAGCCAGCCCCCTGCATAACTGGGAGAGTCCAGGGTTGAAATCAAATGGAAAGAATGTCAGAACTGGAAGGAATCTTAGAGATTCCTCATCATTCATCCACGAGGGGCTCGCAGCTAGTTAGTTAGTGGCAAGGCGGGGGACAAGGCTCCAGGTGCCCAGACTCCCAGTCCAGCGCTTGCTTTCCTTGGAACGCACCCCAGCCTGTCTACCTCCCTGCTTTTGCCCAGGCAGACCCTCCCGATGATTTCTGTATTCCAAATTCATCCCACCATTTGCGGGCCCAGTTTAAGCTCTGCCCCTTCCAAAGAAACTTCCCCTAATCTGCCTCTCTGCTGTGCTCGGTGCTGTCTCTGGGTCTGTTCTCTGCGTCCCTGTGACCTCACGCCCACATCCTCATCAGCCCCCAGCTTCCAGGTAGGGTATTAAAAGCTACCTCCTCCTGACCTCCATCCTGGGGTCACAGGTAAGAGCAGAGACACTCGGAGGAGCTAGCTCAGGTTTCAGTTCTGGGGTAGGGGGTGTCAGCAGAGGCGGGGGACAGAGGGCCATAAGGAGAGGCAGGTGTGGGGCATTCCACCTAGAGCTGTCTGGGCTCAAGGCCTCTAAGCGTGAGCGCCTGGTTCCTATCAGTGGGAGAAGCGCCTGCTGTCACTGGCCAGCCCCCAGCCCAGCCTGTCTCCATGGTAACGGATGCCAGCAGTCAACTTGGCCTTGGGGTTCAGCCAGGGGGCTGGTGCCAGGGGGCGCTGGGGCAGGGCTGGGCTGGTTATTTCATGACGTGACATCTTCTGCTCCTTGTCCTTCCCATTGCACACCTGCAGTCTTGGCTTTTAGACTCGGCTTGCTCCTTTACCTCCATGAAAAGGCCAGGGGTGGACCCCCAGCGGGGAGGCAGCATGGAGTGCTCCAGTCCTGGGCTCTAGATTTTATTCCCATTCCCAGGCCTTGGCCATCACAGGCTGTGTGACCTGTGGCAAGTCCTTTCACTTCTCTGGTCTCTGCTTCCCAATTTATAAAAAGGAAATGGCCACTACGGATGCTGTCAAAACTACCACCGCTGTCAACAGAGATGAAGGACACTCCTTGAAAAATATCAAGTGCCACGAGAATGGGGGAAGGGGACAGAGACCCTCTTAGGTGGCCCAGCCTCAGTTTACCTAAACTTTGACTTTCTCCCTGGACTAAGGGTTCATTAACATTTATGGGGGGGTGGTGGTACGAGGTGATAAGGGAAATGAGAAGCAGCCCAGGCTTCAGTGGTTAATCCCACCCCCTAGTGCCAAGTTTGATACCCTCCAACCGGGATGTCTCACGCCTGCTGCCCTTAATAGCTCAGCTGGTGCAGACTCTGGAGCTGGCAGAGCCCACCTGCAGACCAGCCACTTGTCACCACCTGCTTCGACTCCAGCCCACCCTTTTCCTGTTGAGGCTGAGGGAGGGGAAGGGCAAAGGGCACCTCAGCAATGCAGACCGTCTCCCATCTTTGCTTCTTGATTCTTATTGCCTGCCAGCACAGGGAAATCAAATTAGCAACAGTGTAGCTAGCTGTTGAGTGCCCTGTGTGCAGAGCCGTGGCGGCTCTGGTGCTGCCCCTCCCAGGCCTCCGGTTCCACAGGCATTCTGGACTCAGTTCTAACTCCTGCTCTCAGTTTATGCGGCTTCCTAGGGCCCGGTGCTGTCTCTCCTTCCCTCTCATCCACGAAGCGGTTAGAAACAAGGGCTCAGTGGCAGGGCTACCTGGGGCGTGAATCCTGGCTCCTGCACTAGCTGTGCGACCTTGGGGGCAAGGTGTCTAACCACTCTCCACATCTGAGAAACGGGGCTAATAACACCCACCTCCAGGCATGGTGGTGAGGATTGACGGAACGAGTCCATGGAACACACCGAGAGCAGCGCCCAGCTCAGTGTTACTACTGCATTCATATGTATCGGCCTTCTTTCTGCCCAAACCTCCAAGCTTGTTCTGCCCCAGGCCCTCTGCACTCTGCTCCTGCTTCTAGAGATGTCCTGCCAGCTCCTCACTCAGTGGGCTGCCCCTTCTAGCGAATTGCTTCCTCTGAGGGACCTCAGGTCTCCTAACTAAACAGCACTTTCCCACCCTGGAAATTAGCCTGTTACACTTCTTTAAAAGCGCTCGAAAGTAATTGGAGTTGCGCTGTTGCCTTTGTGTCTCCACTAGGCTGTAGGTGACTTGCAGGCGAGGAGGAACTCATATCACCATGGCGCGACGCTGTGGTAAATGCCAGCTGCCCGACCTGAACCGAGGTGCCTTTTCACTCTCTGGGTGACCCGAGGTCAGTGGCCTGGTTCTCATTTGTTAGAGGGTAGGACAGTGCCCACTTTGTCTCATGGGGTGCAGAAAGCAAGCAGCAGAAATGCCAGCCCTGCCCTCCGCTACCTCGTCTGCCGCCGAGAGGATGATGGAGAGGAGTGGGAGCCCAAAGCCTAGACGCTGACCTCCTTCTTGGACCTGTTCCTGGGGTTCCTGGCAGAGAGGGCAGTGCCAGCTCCCCATTGGCCCACTATGGGCCTGAGCAGCAGGGGTGCTGGGGAGGGGCAGGGAGAAGCCCAGCACGTATAACCAGAGCGGGGCCATCTGTGTGTCACCATGGGGGGACTGGCTCCAAAGTGGCTCTGCAGGCCTGGGAGAGGACGGGAGTCCAGAGCGAGGCAAGGGGTCATTCACCCCCTTTCCATTCCTCTCCTGGCCTCACCCCAACCATTTACTCAGCCTGGTTCCTGTGGCCCCGTGAGTTGCTCCAGGGGAACCCCAGCACAGGAGTTGAAAGTGTTCACCTGTCCAGCTTCTATAAGAGACCCTTTACAGCCACCCTAAGCCCGCCTTGTCTCCCCCACCTGGGAGGGATTCCTCGAGGGCTCAGGCCTCTGGGCTCCTGCTCCACTCGGATCTTCGCATGGGTGAGGCCCCTGTGAGCAGGAGCTCACCCAGAGCAGGCCAAGCACCCAGGAAGCAGAGCTAGCGCTGTGCCGAGTCTCAGCAGATGCAGACACTCAGGCTGGTCCCTCAGGTCCAGGCCCTCCCTACTAGCCCTTCAGTTCTGTGCGTAGAAAACCAGGCCCTGCCGGGAGGGGGTGTGGAGACAGGAAGACCCACGGCAGCTCTAGCTCCCTCCTTCAGGCCGGGGCAGAAGGTCAAAGCTGGGCGAGGGGCTGAGACGCTTGGTTCTCATCCCAAAGCTGGGCGGGTGGGAGGCTGGGTGCCGGGAGTAGAAAGGGAGACGGAAAGAGCCAGGCAGAGTCGCGCAGGGCCCAGCCGCCAGGGATGCGGCCGCCCTCTGCTGGGCGCAAGGGCTCACTGCAGCCGGCAACGAGTACGGCTCCTGAGAAGAGATGCTGAAACACGGTCCTGGCAAAGCAAACTTTAT